GCATAGCATTTTAAGATATATACTTAACCTGCAGGTCGATTATATGAGCATACTGGTTGGTGCCCACTTCAGGGGCTGCGACACGAGTTCAGACTAGAATATTCATGTTCCAGCAAATGAAAGAGCATGCACGTTAAAATAACTTTTTATGCTTCTTTTAAATTTAGTGATATTGTTATTAGTTATGAAAATATGAAATGGCTTTTTATTCTTTATCATTCTATGTGTATCTAGCATTTTACCTCTAAAAATTGTTTCTTTATTGACAGTGGTAAGGTAGCACCAAAGGAAATATTTTGACTGTTTTTGTTAATTTATTACAATATGATAATCAAACTGGGGTTTATTCAGTACTGAATTGTAGTGAAACAAAAACCATATTACAGACAGTCCTCACTTAGCGGTCGGGTTCCGTTCATACGACTCGGTCGTAAAACAAATTGTTTGGTAAGTGAAGATGCGCTTGAGAGCATGCGCTAGAGAGTAGGTCTATGTTCACTAACGCTGGGAATCTGAAAAATCTATGTTTGGGGAAAATTCCTCGAATATAGACCAGCTTTCCACTGTGGAGAATCCCTCAAATCCCCGCACTAAAGAGATGGTTCTAAGTTCGAGCAGTCGTAAAGCAGTCACAAATTGATAACTACCTGTATAACATTTAAAGCTATAATATATATCCAAATAATTTTCTTACATTTTGCTAAGCTGTCTACAGCCGTTCACAAATGGTTTAACCACAAAGTCTTGAATCCAATGCTGTTTAGCTCTGCCGCTGCCCTTCCACTTCTTTCTTATTCTTGAAACAGGAGTCCATTCACAAAACGTCTTGAGAAACGTACATATTTATCGTAAGCCATTTTTATGCATGGGCATCTGCTGATTGGCTTAGATCATCAGCTGGCAAATCAGTGGTACCCCTGTCAGAGGCTCTCAAGTATCAGAGAATAAGGCCTGTTAAACAGGTTAGAAACTTTTAGGGTTAAACCGTTTGTGAATGGTTTTACCCCTAAAGGTAAGCTGGCACCAGGGACTAAAAGGCACCTTCATTCTGATAAAGTTGTTATGGTGCCGGAGTGTTTCTTTAACATAATACTATTTCACACTCTATGCGGAATGGTGTTCATCCACTTTGGTGTTTTAAGAGTTAACAGTAGAAAAGAGTTAAGACAAAGATTGTACTATTATTCAAAGGTAACTGAAAGCCTTTGCCCTGATCCACAAATAACTAGAACCAAACTGGTTATTTCCATTAATGCAGAGAGAGGAAATTATCATCATTTTCATATGACTTCCAATACTGAAAAGAGGTTGAAATTCTCAATATAAATGTTAATAGAGAGGAATAAGAATGCAAATATCTGGGACCGTTTCACACTTGATTATATACTCTTGTGATGGGGTTGGACCTGACGTTCGTATTGCTAAATAAGGTATTATACAGACCATCCAAGGCAGACATGCCATCCATTTTAATGCATTATAAACATTACATAACGACTTGTCCCTGTAATACATGCACACATTAATTCAGACAGGCAGTCACACACTACACAAACAAGGAGCACACTTTCTGTTTCTTAATATACATCAGACAATTAGTTTTTTAGGAGATGAAATAGTATCTGTTTTGAAGAGTGAAAGAAAAAAAAATACACATACCGTATATACTCGAGTATAAGCCGAGTTTTTCGGCTCATGTTTTGTGCTGAAAAACCCCCACTCGGCTTATACTCGAGTCAGTCTGTATTATGGCAATTTACATAAAAAATTTTTGTCCCCCCTCCCTGCTTGTTGCCTGGCCAGGGAGGGGGAACAAAAAAAAATTAAAAAAAAAAATTCATGCAAATATTAAAATAATAATATAATAATAAAATAATATTATTTTAATATTATATTATTTTCTTATTATATTATTATTATTTTAATATTTGCATTATTTTTTTTAAATGTTTTTTTTGTCCCCCCTCCCTGCTTGTTGCCTGGCCAGGGAGGGGGGACAAAAAACATAAAAAAAATAAATAATGCAAATATTAAAATAATAATAATATAATAATAAAATTATTATTTTAATATTTGCATTATTTTTTTTTTATTTTTTTTTTGTCCCCCCTCCCTGACCAGGCAACTAGCAGGGAGGGGGGACAATAATGCAAATATTAAAATAATATAATATTAAAATAATATAATAATAATATTAAAATAATATAATAAAATGTAAAAATTAAAATAAAAATGCCCTCCCCTCATCCAGTTTACACACACTGCACAAACACACACACACTGCATTATATACACACACACACAAACACTGCATTCATTATATATACACACACAAACACACACTCTGCATTTATTATATACACACACAAACACACACTCTGCATTCATTCTATACACACACTGTAAATAAATATTCAATTAATGTAATTTTATTGGGATCTAATTTAATTTAGAAATTTACCAGTAGCTGCTACATTTCCCACCCTAGGCTTATACTCGAGTCAATCATTGATCATTGATCAGTGTTCTGGTTATCCTTAACAGCGGTCTTATTAAGACAACATTTCTTTTTAATGAATATCAAAATTCAACATGGCAAGCTAAGCTTTATAATCATTACATGGTTGTTATGGTGCTGTTAGGGTGTGGGAACCTTCTCCAAGTCTAGGTCAGACTATTTGTGTCCCATAGACACCTTCATTTGCAATGTCCATTCAAATTATGCATTTGCGATGTCCATTTCATCCTCATCTGTATGGCTTTTATTGGCTGAGTAGGTTAGGTAGCGTAGCTAGCCTATCAATGGCCTGCAAATATAGATTAAATTGATATTGGTAATTCCAGTGAGCAGTCCTGGACGTGGGAGAGGGGCACTATAGGGAGCTATAGTGCCAGGAAAAGAACTATAAGTAGATATCAAACACAACTAGCCACGCTCTGTCTCATACACTTTCACGCACATACATGGCCACTCACATATTTGTATGTACGTGTAATTTATTGTCTATGTGTAGCTATAGGCAATCACGCACAAATGTATATAGAGAAACATTAGCACACATATGGACTCTGACATGCATGCATGCAGAGAGTAAATCATTTTATAAATGTTTTTGTATGAAAATCCAATCCTACAAAAATGTGACTCCTGGTCAAGTCCCTGTCTGATTACTTTCATTTTCCCTGAAAGGGGGTGTGGGCCTGTAGGGCTTTTCTCCATATGAATTTCTGACAATTTCATGAAATCTGACACAAAAATGTAAATTACAATGAAGTGTCAAATATAGAAAACGAAAACATGCACACAAAAATGCTGGGATTTCCATACAAATATAGTATGGTGTTTTTTTTTTGTTTTTTTTTAAATTGGTGGCCAACTAGCATTTTACACGATATGTACCTTTAAAGTGGAACTGTTACCGTCTGACTTTTGATAATTTGAGAAATGACAGTGACACTTTAAAGCTAGTTTGCAGCCATACATACATCTTTCATATGTCTTTCAAGTTTTTCATATATTTCTTCAATCACCGGACTTGCAACATAGTAACTGTGTAGAACTATGAGAAGAGATTTGCAGCTTTGACTTGTCTCTTCTATTGATGTGGTTTTTTGTAATTAAAATGAAAAGAACAGAGAAGAATGGGGTTTGCTGGGACACAAAATTATATATAATCAGTGACTGTAATTAAAGTCAGTGTGTGGGTTGCTTGAGTAATTTGGCAGGTTCCACTTTGTTTTTTTACCTGGCACAGCTTTCAACTCTCAAGTTGGTTTCATTAATTTGTGCTTATTCTCTCTCCCCCCCCAACATGCCATAATCATTTTAACACAGTCATTTTATCACACTTGTTAAATCTCTCACATGATGTTGGATTTTCCAATTTAGAGATGTTTCTTCTAAATGGTTTTTGATTGGCTTGTCCACCTACCTTGCTCAATAATACCCTTTTGTAGCTAAATATAATCTCAAGATGATCAATCCTTATGACTGAATTTCCATACTCACTTGGAAATAATTTGCTTGTAATAAATATTGCCCCAATCAAGTTTTCTGTCAAATTAATTCTGACTGTAAAAGGAATACAAGCCTTAAAGGGATACTATAGTGCCAGGAATACAAAGCTGTATTCCTGGCACTACCGAACCCTCCTTCTCCACTATACCTCGCGGTAAATAAAGGGTTAAAACCCTGGGTTGAAGCTCCGCCCCTCCTTCAGCCCCGCGACATGCATTAGACCTCCCCATTGGAAAGCATTAAACAATGCTTTCCTATGGGGAAAATCTGACGCTGGACGTCTTCATGCAGCGTCAGATAATGTAGCAAAAGTCCGTTTCGATTCAGGAAGCCCTCTAGTGACTGTCTTTCAGACAGCCAGTGAGGGCAGACTTAGAGCTGCAATGTAAACATTGTAGTTCTCTGGAACTACAATGTTTAACATTGCAGCACTAGGTGCAAAAGGGACACAGCCAGGGCCAGATTAACATAGGGGCTGATAGAGCTGCAGCTCCAGGCCCAAGCCCATGGAATAGGCCCATTGATTTAAAAAAAAAAAAAAAATTATTTATTTTTTACACACTACTCTTAGCGTTGCCAGGTATTTCTTAGGGCTGCCAGGTATTTCTCAGAAGTATTACTCAGGTATTTGAGGCTGCCTAGCCCGTGCCGGTATTGCAGAACTGGCAATACAAATGTCAGTCTCAGTTTAAACAGATTATTCTGCAATACCAGCACTGCTGTTTGTGTGGAGAGAGGCAGGGATAAGAAGTTACAGCATCTCCCTCTACTCACTGATCCGCGAGGGAGCAGCTCTGTACAGAGAGTCCAGACAGCAGCTCCAAGCCTGCAGAGACAGCCAAAGCTCAGGTAAGTGAGGGATGGGGGGAAAGGCTGCAGGGACACAGACACTAGGGGGCACTGTGAGACATGAGGTCACTGAGACACTAGGTGACACTGGGAGACATAGGGACACTTGGTCACACTAAGACTCTAGGGCAGAGGTTCCCAAACCAGTCCTCATGGCCCACCAACAGTCCAGAATTTATATATTTCCCTGTTTTATTCCAATGGAGATACTAACAAAACCTGGACTGTTGGTGGGTCTTGAGGATTGGTTTGGGAAACGCTGCTCTAGGGAGCACTGGAAGACCTGGGGTCACAGACACTAGGGGAAACCGTGAAAGATGGGGACGGTGAGAGACTTGGGGACACTGGGAGACATAGGAACACTTGGTCACACTGAGACTCTAGGGGGCACTTGGAGACTTGGGGACACTGAGACACTAGGGGAAACTGTGAGACATGGGGACCGTGAGAGACATTGGGACACTGGGGGACATGGGGACCCTGAGACACTAGGGAAACAGTGGCCCCTAGTCTGTGTCCCCATGTCTCCATGTCCCCATGTCTCCCAGCCAGTGTTCCAATGTCTCTGTGTCCCCATGTCTCCAAGTGTCTGTGTCCCCTAGTATAAAAGAAAAAAATCTCAGGCACTCACTGTGATAGATTTAAGCAGGTTTATTGGACACCGCAACATTTCGACCTGTACCCAGGTCTTTATCAAGTCTCCAGTGTCCCCTATATATCACAGTATCCCCCATGTATCAGAGTGTCTCAGTGCCTAATGTCTCTTAGTGTCTCAATGTCCCCTAGTCTTCCAGTGTCCCCATGTCTCACAGTGCCCCAAAGTGTCTGTGTCCCCTATATATCACAGTATCCCCTATGTATCACAGTGTCTCATGCCCCAGGTCTCCCAGTGTTCTCTAGTATCTCAGTGTCCCCATGTCTCACAGTGTCTCAATGTCCCCTAGTGTCCTAGGGACATGGGGACACACACACTAAGGGACTGGGAGACATGGGGACACAGACATGCCTCCTTTTTGGGTATGTTCGCCACTTTCGGCAGTTCTGGTTATGTGATTTGCGTCAGTGGCCCACCCTTTTACCCCATCCATAGACTTCCTGCTTTACTGGACACTGCTACTAGGGGGTATGGATTTACTTGAAAGATTAAAACATGAGATTAGCATAGGGTATGTGTTTTCTCATAGCTGCATCCTATGAGTTTCCCTCAAGCACCATCTCCATCAGATACATGATGCTTGGGAGGTAGGATTGTTTTAGTGTTTTTGGTCAATAAGATTTTGTAATTAGGCCCATCATTATTGTCAGCACCAGGCCCACTGGGCTCTTAATTTGGCCCTGGACACAGCACCCAGACCACTTCAGTGAGATGATGTGGTCTGAGTGCCTACAGTGTCCCTTTAAAGGCAGGGAGCTGAAAATACGTTCATATAGATATGTGTTATAAATCTATTTAGAATACATTGTTTATTGTTAGATTTTATTTAGAACATAAAAAAAGAAAACATTAATTGTTTAGCATGACATTGCTCTTATAAGATATGTTACAAGGTGTGAGAAGATCATAAAATGGCATTAATGTTACAAATATTTTGCTTCTTTAACCCATTATGGATTATGAACAACAAAAGCAAATAAATATCCATAAACACTTATCCGTAACCGAGTGAAGAGGTTGTGGAAAAGACAGTCGCCACTTCCCAATCTCAAATACAGGTTTTAACCCAAATATAGTATATGTAAAAAGCAAAGTACTAGTCCTATAAACTAGGAGCTAATTGGATTCAGGATAAAGAAAAACATTAACCCCTGCCGCGTGCGCATTCAAACCACCTATAGGAAAGCATTACTCAATGCTTTCCTATGGACGTCCAGCGCCTTCTCACTGTGATTTTCATAATGAGAATTGTGGAAGCTCCTCTAGCGGCTGTCAGTGAGACAGCCACTAGAGGCCGGGATACCCTCAGTGTAAACATAGCAGTTTCTCTGAAACTGCTACGTTTTCAGCTGCAGGGTTAAAACTAGAGGAACCTGGCACCCGGACTACTTCATTAAGCTGAAGTGGTCTGGGTGCCTATAGTGGTCCTTTAAGTGGAAATAAACCATGCATCTATTTTCTGTGTTCCTAAAAAAAAATTGCACATAGCCATAAACTCAAGGGACTTATGGTCGCAGATGAAAATAAGTATAAGGGGATCGATGTAGATAGAGGTTTGGGAATAAAAAAGCAAATACTGATATACTGGGTAAAAGGAATAAAAAAGTATCTAGATAAATAAATTGGTATACAGCCTACAAATCTGTAACAAATGCAGGAATTGTACTAGTAAGTCCTACCTCAGCAGACCATAGTAGAAGGGGGTTACTTAAATACCAAAAACTCAGAAAGACAGTAAATCCCTATTAGATATAGAACAATGGGAGATAGAGAGAAAACCAGTGAAAGTCCCACTCCTCAAAAAGAAAGGGGATACCTAATGCTAATCAGGAATAAGTTATATAGGAAGTAGAACTCCTAGAAAGAGTTAGCCAAACAAAAATCACCCAAACCTACTTGCTACTAATTCCTACACTCTAATACCTCTGCATATTAAAGCTTACAAATACAAAAAGAGAAGTCCTGCGCTCACTCCTATCATTACTGGGCCAGCAGCAATGACTACAGTACACATCAGCCCCAATATATAGTAAAAACCAAAGAAAAGAAAAAGTTACCTGCGCTGTCTCCTTAATCCCTATGTATATTTAGACAAATGGAGGTCATTTAGTTGCTCCAATGGCCATTGGAGGGAATGCCGCCTGCCAACGTCAAGGCAGATGTGTTCCCTATTAAGGGTTAATAAGTATATAGGGGTGTATATAAAAAATACCCCTCTCTGTCTGATTAGAGATATCTTTGCCAGAAGCTCAAGGAAGCAGGCTGAAGGGTCAATATTAAAGCTTACGCCTACAAAAGACCAGCCCTACAACTAGACTGTGAGAAATAAAACGCTAACCATGGTGTGGGGGTGAACATACATATACTAAAAACCAAACGCCCAAGGGGGTATTTCTAGGGGTCTTACATTCCATATATACCCTATCCCTGCTTAGTACTAGATATTCTCTTTCTTTTGGAGGAGGGGAGTTTCATGTTTATGGCTCTGTGTAGTGTTTTTGGAACACAGAAAGTGTATGTATGGTTTATTGTCTCTAAAGGCTTACCTACTTCTCCATTGAACATTCTTGTACTTCCATTTCTGTAATACTATTAGGCCATCTGGACATAACAACTACACTTGGGTATGCACATTACCATTGTTTATAGAATAGAAGGGGTTTGGCCACTTTTTTTTTTTTTTTTTTATCAATAAACTTGTCTCAAATCATGTTAATATTTTTCTTTACCCTTGAAATAATCTCATAAGGTCCTGGTATATAGGACCAGTGTTTTGTTTCTTTCATTAAGGATTAAGCCATTTTATTTTTATTTTGACATATAATAACCATGGCAGTTTTGAATTTTTGAATTTTTTTATTTTGCTATTTTTTGTACAGTCATAAGTTCCCTCTCTCATCTTTAATTGCAACAGCACCTATATTTGATACATGGGACAGATATTACTTTTCATGTCTATGGTGTTGGTATAGTTTGGTAGTTACAAGTCACAATTACAAGGAGGATAATGATGGTTTACAGCTTGTTTGTCCCCTAATGATAACCCAATTCCTTATCACATTTGCAAGCTTGTATTGTTTCATGGTGCTACTTCCTCCACAGTCAGTGAATAGCAGTATAGGTGGTTATGGTCCTTATGTGTCTCCACTCCCCGATTGTACAGCGCTGCTGAATATGTTGGCGCTTTACAAATAGCAATAGTAATAATAATAATATGGTCATTGGCTGTTCATACTGTCTCATATATATAGTAGCTTGCACAAGTTACTTTGAACTGTGTTCTGTCACATGGGGTCAAAGTTATAATAAACTTAAGAAAAGAGAAATGTATGTACTTGCTGCTATCCACCAATCTCCTATCTGCTCCTGGGCATATAATGAACCCTATAGCTAAATTACTTTGTTTACTTTGTAAATTGTTGATTCCTGCCATGCCTGTGCTAAATTATGTATATGCTATGCATGTATGTTATTGTATATTTTGAACAATATGCAAACAGCTATTGAAGACGTGGAATAATATTAAACCTAAAGCTTCTCTTTGTTGTCACGCGATCTCCACTCTGCACTCACTGCCATAACTGGGTGTTGGGTTGCGTGGGAGTAGCTGCATTTTAAAGCCAATGGATATATGCGGTAAAATAAATGAGCCATTTAAAGAAGCAGCTGCAGTTTTAAGAGTTCGAAATGTCAGGGCCGTTAAGTACTCCGTTGTGTTAGACTGCAGTTTGCGAAATTACTTAATTGTTAAGGAAAATATCCAAGCTAGGATTAGCTGTCATTAGGCTACATTTAAAGTGACTGCAAGTAGCATCCTCTTTGCAGCCTGTTATGTTGCTTTGCGTTCATACTCTTAACACTTTAGGGTTTAGTGAACAAACAGAGAGCATCAAACCAGATTGCAAAGTTTAGACTAAAGCAGCCAAGCTGTTACTATAGGGGAGTTGGAAGATTTTTCCAAATCAGCTGTTTTGTAATTCACTGCAATTCATTGCTTATGGGGGAAGGGAGTAGGGGAGATTCAGTTTCCCGTACCCGGCTGTACTGGCAGGACTACTAACCTTATGGAAGCGCCGGCCCTGAGCCGGCAGGACTTCTAACTGGAACAGCGTTCCTGCTTTGGAAAAAGTGCAGGAACACTGTTCCTGCAGGACTCGAGCCCTGGATGTCCTGCCGCGTTCTGAAACTCCATCTCTCTAAAACTGAGCTTCTTATTTCCCCCCCTCATAATGCTGATACTCCTTCACTTTCCCTGCAAGTTGATGGTGCTTGCATCAGTCCATCCTCTTGGTGTTATCTTTGATCCTGGTCTCACCTTTGCGTCACATATCCAGTATGTTGCTAAAGCCGGCCGATTCCACCTTGAAAATAGTGCCCGCACCTGCCCCTTTCTCACGCAAGATGCTGCTAAGGATAATCTCTCGCATGGAATACTGTAATTCTCTCCTAGTTGGTCTCCCCAAAAGCCGAACTGCCTCGCTACAACTGGTAATGAATGCTGCCGCCAGGCTGACCTTTCTCACCCATCGTTTCTCTCATACCTCGCCCTTCTGTTGATCCTTACACTGGCCTCCTGTATCATATAGGTTGTCCATTCAAAAT